GCTTGAAGTATGTGATTTACTCTTGGCTTCCCTCTCTTCGAAAGTTGACCAGCCGAGCTCTCCTTTCAAGAATTCATTGGCTAAGTTGCACGCTGGTTCTCCTAGCGCCCACCTTGCTGCCTGTCTCTGGGCTGAGTCTATGTTTTTCCGTAGAGTATTCGACATGACGGTTACCGTGTTACAGTACGTTAGCGCTGGGACGCATGTGGCTTTCCACTGTATTTTCGTCGTTTCAAAGCGATTGAATTTCCACAGCACTTTAGCATGTAGTTGATATAGCGCCTTGCGCGTTCTCTCCTTCCACATTTTTTCCTGGTCCTCGAGATAGTTTGCGTCTGTGCTTAGATGTATGCCCAAGTATTTGTAAGTTCTTTCCTTCGGGATTATCTTACCCTGAATGAATAAGTTCTTATCGGTTGTGTCGTCTACCCGATTGAAGTTTAAAACCGCAGATTTGGCGGATATGAGGCCTCTTTCCTCACCGAAGGTAGACGTGATTTGGAGAAGTTTCTCCATGTCTGACCACGTATGTGCGATTAGCACTAGATCATCCGCAAATAGATAGTAGTCCAGGAATTTTCCTATTCTGTATTCTATTTGGTTGGAATATGTTTTTTGAGATCCGCACGTCATAGCCTTTTCTGGACTTGAGTAGTTGCTCTTCCAGCTCGGATATGTAAAGGATAAATAGGGTCGGCAATAGGGCGCAGCCCTGCCTCAGACCTCCTGGTGTGGCGACTCTGTCCGAGTCACCTTTCTCTGTTTTGAGAATAACTGTATTCTCTTTGTATAGTAACTTCAATAGTCCTATGACCTCCCGACGCAGTCCGTGTTTCTCCAGGACTTCCCAGAGCTTTGTTCTGCATACTTTGTCATATGCTCGAGTGCAGTCTAGGAAGGTTGCTAGAAGTCCTCTGTTCTGTATTCTCGCCATTTCTATGGCGCTTGTGAGTATGAAGAGGCAGTCATCACCTCTACGCTTGTCTCTGTACCCATGTTGCATTTCTCCCAGTTTTTTGTGTTTGACTATCCATTTTTGGATTTTCTTGTTTATAATTCTGGTGAATATTCTGTACGTGAGGGCCGATGTAGTTAACGGTCGATACGTATGTAGGATCCTTTATTTACTATTGGGTTTCTCTATTAGAGCCACCCTGGCCTCCGCCCATTCACGGGGCAAGAAGGCCTCTCCCTTAACGATTGCATCGTAGACTCGAGCTAGATATTCACAGCCTTCATCTCCTAGATTTTTGAGTATTCGCCCCTGGATCCCATCTAGTCCTGCCGAGGAGTGGAGAGACACTCTTTCAAGAGCTCCCCTGACATCTTCGTAGGATATCGCGAAGTTTTTAATAGGATGGGACAGTTTGTATCCACCCTCATTGGCTGCTTCTGTTTTTTGTCCATGTAGAAGGTCTTCGATCGTCTCGGTCAAATGACTTCGGATTTTGCTGGCTTTGACTTCAAGGCCATTCTTGTCTTTGATAGTAAGTTCTTTTCTTGTCACCATGTCGGACTTCCTGACATAGTTCCAGAAACGCTTAGCTCTAAGATTTCAGGGACATCGGACTATGCAGTCATACATTTTCCTGTCCTCCGCAGCTATTTCCAAACTGATTTTTTCCGAGAGCTCTTACTGAGCTTCTCTGAACTTCAGGAATAGTTCCTCAGCATCCTCTGCTTCGTTTTTCCTTGCTTTACGCCATTCTCTGCTGATATTTCGCCTAGTTTTATCTAGGTGTGCAATCTCTCTGTTCCACAGAGCATACTTTCCTTTAATTGTGATAGCTTTTGAGCTCTCTGATATTTTAGCCTTGATATTCTCCATCAAGATCTCGTGGCTAACAGTTGAGTCATTAATTAAGGCTTCACGGAGACTGTGTCTCGTGAGATTAGCTGCTTTGTCATAGTCTATGATTGTGAGTCTCTTTTTGAGACTCGCATCTTGAATCTTTTTCTCATAGATATGCTGATTAGATAGATAATTGCACAGAGACATTCTTCGCCGGAGCATTCAAGCTCGTCACGACAGCAGAGAGCCAACAGGAATTAGCAAGGCTTCAATTCCCGTGGCTGTAGCTTTCCGAGGATGAACTTGAATGAGCAAAGAAGCACGACTCTCGAGTGACTTCAGCGATGCTCATTCACCCAGGCGCCGACCGAAGCGGCTTCTGCGGATAATATCCTCCCGGGGAGTTGAGCCGGGGCGAATTCCGTGGAAGGCATCTCGAGAATTATCAGCTCGCGGCTCCTCATTGTCGACGAGCTCCGGGTCCCATCACCCACTGCAATGCCACAAGAATATACGAATTCGAAGTATTGCCATGAGGGCAAGCCTAATGATAGACCCTCCACATAATATCCGGAAGCTCATGTGGATGCCGGATACTCTTTTACCGTCGCACAGTGGGGCCAAATCACATTTTTGGTGGACAAAAGTCTTCTCCGGGTTTCGATCTCCAGTGATAGCCTAAAATATTCACCGAAGTCTGGAAGTCAGAAAGCCATAGGTCTTTCGATATACACCGCTATTGGGAGAGAGCGCGGAGCTGTCAAAGTCAAGATTTAATTGGAGGTGCGATCTGATATTTCTTTCTCCCATTGACAAAGCCCGGAAATGAATACACTCATACACTTCCGAGGCGGCTCAATGGATTTTCCCAAAACACCTCCGGTCCGGATCTTGCGTTTGAGACGGGTTTGGACCCCGTCAGCTGGTTTCGCACCTGCCGAGCCGAGGAATCAGAGAACACCTCCAAGCCCGAAAATTCATCAAAATTGGTGACTCTTGGAAAGTACTTCCCACCCTTCCCCGCCCGGATATTGACTCATTGGGGGACATATGGGGCCTTGAACTATCTCAGGAAAAAAAATTGTCACCCGGTTTTTCCCGGTTTTCGAAAAAAATAATCGAAGTTGACATCAGAAATGCTGAATACGTGGGTTCTGGTTCAACCTATCTTCTGTTAAGCGAGTATGAGGCCCCCACGAGAATTCAAGTGTGACTTCCGCGATCACCGACCTCGATGAGAGCCTGATAACCAGATTCCGTGTTATTCTCCGGACTCTCTGTACGAAATTCGGAGTGAATATCGAAAATATCATATGAATGAATATCGAGGTATTCGTGAAAGAGACGAAGCAAGTTCTGCAAGAGCTGTATCCGTGGCACCCAGCAACGCCGACTGTTCGTAAAATCCTAGACCAAAGCCCTCCGTCCATGAAATACGTACAACCGGCGAAACGGCGCCGTTTAAACGGGCCGTTTTGTTCTCAAACGGCGAAAGAACGACCTTGATTTTCATTCACCATGTATGTAGCAGAGCTCGGTGACCTGAACATATTGTTCTAGCGGAGCACCTCCCAAATACCGACACCGACGCTACCCGACTTATCAGCGGATATTCTCCGGATCGGATAAGACGCGACGACGGCAGCCGCCGCAATTGGGCCGAAGCGGTCTTGATGACGTACGCATGGAAGACACCATCAGGCTCAATTCATCGCTCGAGTGCTTCCTATGCGTCCCACCGTTTTCGAGAAATTCGGCATTTTTTCCAGGACTACATTCTCCGCCCTCGAAGCCTTGATGAGCGGCATGTGAAGGAATTCACCTCGAGAGACGTTATCGATACCGTTCAGAGAACCCTACACTTGTCACTTGACTCCAGGTACCCGGTACCCGAGGTCCGATAGCGTAAGCGTAACCCGTAATTTGACTTTCCAGACCAAGTTCCATGCTCTCCGCCTTCCGAAGTCATAATGAATGGGATATCAGCAAAGCCACATTCGACGCTATGGTCAATTCTCTTAAGTTCAATTTACGGTCTCAAATTAACCGATTTCTCCGCTCTTGACAATTTTTTCCCGTGATTGGTAGACGGTTCTTGAGGGACGTTTTTTTCTCTATCGTTCGATCAATTTTCTCGAAAATGGTCCGAGGTATCCCCTATCCCCTATCCCCTACACTCCCCTACACTATAATAAACGCCGGCTGTGCGTCACGTTGAGGTCTATGGCAGCTACCCGAAGGAGGCGTGCAATCGGTACCGAGTTTCGTCGAGGCATCGGAGCGGTCCTCATGACACCGCAGGCCAAGTTGCGTCGCGTAACTTTGCGTCTGAATGCGCAATCTCGCCAACAGAAGTTCGAATTATGACGTCATCTAATTGCCCTCGCCACACCAGTGCTGCCGCCGCTGGCCGTGGCTCAACAGTGGTTCGTCAGTGGATCTGTTTTACGGCAGAGCGGAGAAATCGTATTGACATTCAATTCATACACCTCCCCCATCGCTCAAAAGCCTATCACAAGTTCGGACTTCATCCCGGAATCAGTATGTAGCCTCCGGAGAGGATCTGCTCGATCTATAGCCGCCGCGCCGTCGCGCTGTGACGCGGTCGCTGCCCGTGCTCCAATGGTCATTCCCATGTGGCGCGTCGCGGAGCGGAGCGCACACTTCCGCTCCTGTCGCTGACTCCTTGCTCCTCGATAGGAACTTCGGCGGCGAGATCGCTTATGTCCGGGATTCCTCCTCCTCCTAGCTCCTCTAGGTCACAGTGCACGGGCCTTTCGGAGCCGGATCCGCTTCGATCGCTTCATGCTCTGTGACAACGGGAACTCGGCATCCTTTCGTGTTATCCTGCTCACTAACTCAGCATTCGGCATCGGCTGAATGAGGGGAGAAACAGCACCGATCCGGTGAAGAAATATTCAGAGAGAGAGAAATGTTCAACTGAGAAACCCAACATTTCGATGATACCGATAGTACTCAAAACTCGAAACCTTACCGTAAGCGTTTTCGAGACGTTCGAGAGATTCGAAGGAATTCTGGTTAATGTATAAAAACGAAACCAATGGACAACACATTGAGGGAGTCACATCGAAGAACCCTACATTTGACTCAATGCGGCTCAAATTTCAAAAGCTCGCTTACATATTTTCATTAGGCTGATGATTCCATATTTTTATTAGACTGATGATTTCATCAGGCGACATGAGATGTGAACACGGTCAAGTGTCAACTAATCAACTAATGACTTCTCAGTTGACTGGACGTTCCGCGACCAACGATCATGCTTGTTTAGGAGCTGTATAGCTTCTTCAATCATTTTTCAATTTTCTGCTTATTCATCATTACCATCATTTCTCATCCCGGAGTCCTCGACTCGCACAATGTATTCAAATCGAACCTTCATGCTTCCTCCGAGTGATCATCCTTTTCACTTTTCACATTGACTCCCTGTCGCTGTACAGTTACTAGTGACTCACGCTCAGATCAGGAATGACCCATCCATGTCCATGACAACATCAACCTAAGACGAAGACGTCGAGCTGGAGAGTCTCGATTCAAGATGCATCGGATCGAGGGGAGGTCAATTGGCGTAGAAACTTTTAAGGAGAACCCCTCGAGTAGTGCCGGAATTTTCTCGCCTTGCTAAACATTCTTTCCGACGCCACACTAGTCGGCAGAATCATCTTGAGGCTCTTCTTCATTCCTGGAGGGATGAGCTCTTCTACCTTATCGTACTTTCCCAACTTCATCAGGCACTTCCTCGCAGATTTCAAGTGTTTACAGTACTTCTTCGCATCTCGATTTTCTGAGTTCTCGATGCCGAGATATTGATGGCAGTGCTTCCTTAGTTCTTTTTCGACTGTGCTGTTGGCCGGCGTCGAATCTTGAGCGGACTTCTCTGGGCTTTCCTCGAATTCGGGACCGAAGCGTTGGTCCAAGCGAAGCATTTCATTTTCGGCTCCCAGCTGAGGATAGATGAACCTCAGACACTTCGAGGCCACGCCTCGGCGGCTGATTATCCGTAGAATGATGTTGAACCTGAGCCTTCTTGACAGATGCGAGTGTACTTGATCAAGTTCTTGCAGGAGGTGCTGAATCAAAGCGAGAATCATTCCAAAGCGCGGAATATATCGAGATGAAAACGAGCTCCCGGACACAGAAGAGTGAAAAAAACAAATACCTCGTGGATTAGGTCGGCGTCAAGGAGAGTTGTGCTTTCGCAGGATAGTTTTATAGTAGCCGTCTTCACGTGCTGTAGAACTCTGACTATTTTCCCTATTTTCCGGATCTGCTCTTCGGTCAAGGGGAAACTCAGTTTGGGGTCATCGTCGAAGATAGTTTTGATATTTTCTTGGATTCTAAGGAAGCGTTCGCATTGAGCATTTCGCAAGGGCTATTCCACCTGGTTGGTGTATCCATGATGGCGTTCAAGCCACAAATTTTCCTTTGTTTCGCCGCGTTGTTCGGTTTTCTCATCTCTTTGCATACGTTGCGTGTTTTTTCGATCAGATCTGCTCGTTCCACAGAGACCGCATCCAGAGTCTCGGTCACTGCTAGATGGAGTCCATGACTGAAGCAGAGTTGATGATAAAACAACTTCGGCGACCTAATTGTTTCTATCTTGCTTCCCAGGAGCTTCATGCTCGACGCCCCTGGAGAGATGGACGAGAGTTCGGAGTCAGGGGATTAAGAAAGTCTGCCAGGCCGAAATTTTCACATGCCGGACATCTTTGAGACTGGACATCTCCCTCCCCGAGCAGGGAGTCAAGACACTCTATCCCCGGGAAAAAAAGGAGAAAAATGTCTCGCGTCAACATATTATTCATTCTAATTCCCACTCACCGTCGGTAGTCAGTGATATAACATCGTGCAGATTAATGCCGAAGGCCTCCACTGCTGAACTCAGCCCGCTTAATAGTCCCGATGATGTGCTGGACTCCGAAGCAGTCATGATTTCAAAAGAATTGCTTTTCAGGCTTGGGATCATGTCGGAGGAGTGAATGGTAACCCCCAAATATTTCTTCGTGCGCCACGACCATTCATCTGCTGTGAGCGCGAAGGTCGCTCCAGTTGCTTTCAGAGCCATGATCTCTGCCTTTATTAGGATTTCGACGCGTGCCTTCTCACGCTTAACGCAAAGGGTTGCCGCATGGCGGTTTCTGACCGTGTAACCCAAGTTACGAAGCATATCCTTCACTATCGGGTCC